ACACACACCATATAAAGATAAAACAAGACCAGGATAAAGGCAATTAAATAAACTCATTGGGAAAAGGGGAGGTCCAGGCTAGTTGCCAGTCCGTAACAAGTCTGAATTCCCTCTGGGCACATGTCCCTTGTGAACATGTTTCATAAGAAACAAGCTCAGATCTCAGCGGCTGAGGACCAGCAATATTTGTTTCCCACACACTCATCTGCAGGTCAGCTATGTCGTCTATTTCCAGGTAGCAAGGCAGGGTCACAACTCTCCCCCATCTTCTTACTCAAAACCCAAGATGGAAGAGCAGCTATCCTCTGGGGCATGTTGCTTCATCAAGGTGGGCAGGAGTGCAAGAGGGTTAGTGGAAACATAGATACTGTCATACCAGCCACATTTCATCAGCCAAGTCATTTGTCCAAGCCCAGCATTAATACTATACTCCTGTGGCAAGAGGACAGGGAGAGAATATTTGCTAAACAATAATAGAATCTACAAAGAATGAGATATGCTTTAGGTAATTTTTCCTTTTCCAAAGGAGCCCAGTATAAGTAATCTTTCTTAAGGCTGGAAGATCCCAGGGAGTAATTAAATGTTCTTCATGTAAATTATTTTGTAAGCACATGAATAAGTGATACTTACCCATTGAATAAACATAAAGGGAAAGTGCATAGAAGTACATAAATTCCACTTTGTACAGAAAGCTGAATAACACAGTTCAACAGAGAATTGGGAATCAGTTCGAATTACCAATAAAAAAAGGCAAGAGACAGAATGATACAGATGAATTTCACATAAATTCAAATAAATCCAATAAGGTAATCTGTAATTCTTTCTCTACCTGTGCTGCCTTAATGAAAAAGTAGATAATTCCCAGGGCACTAGACTAGCTTTATTTGAGAGGCTAGAAGCATGAGAGCAGAAATATTCTGCAGAAAGAACTCACGAAGTTACAAGAAAAATTGATCCCATGGTTAAGGAAGTTATATGTCTGTCTCAGAATAGTCTGTCTTTCTGTATAAAGTTGTCACAATATTTCTGAGCAACCAAGTACTGAGGTTAACATCAGAATGTCAACTTGGTTAAAACTGTACATTAATCAGGCAGGGCTTAGGATAAGTCTCCAAGAGCCTTAGAACAAAGCAGAGTGTAAAGAGGTAAAACAAGTTTATTTTTCCACCTCTTCGAAGGATGGAAACTTGGACAGGCCTTGCCCAAACATGACTACATGGCCGTGAGTGTCATATTCTTTTGGATTCCAGATTATAGCATCAGATCAGGGCATCCCAAACCCAAATGCTCAGCCACTGTGGATATATGGATCCTACCATCCCCTCACAAAATCAGATTTTACATACTTTGTGGGTTGGTCCGCTCTACCTTTTTAAGACCAATTTTCCTGTGGCATTTCTGAGTCCAGCTCATAGTCACTTTGATGGACAAAAAGATACCTTCAAATCAAGCAAGACATCATAAGGCTAAAGAAATTACAGATCCCGGGGCGCCCGGGTGGCTCAGTTGGTTAAGCATCTGCCTTCGGCTCAGGTCATGATCTTAGGGTCTTAGAATCCAGCCCTAGTTGGGCTCTCTGCTCAGCAGGGAGTCTGCTTCTCCCTCTCCCTCTGCCTCTCCCCCCACCCCCACGCTGGTGCTCTCTCTCCCCCAAATAAATAAATAAAATCTTAAAAAAAAGAAGAAGACAGGCTAGATAGGCCCAGGAGAACACCCAGATAAGGCAAACACAGAATCATCTCTCAGGAGCTCCCACTTTAGGAGTCGAGACTAACCACTCACGCATACACTCACACACATGCACACACACACAAGACTGTAATACAAGGTAGAAAATATGAACATTCAGAAAAAAAGTCATCAGCAATTTAAGGCGCAAGACAAGACCCAGGAAAATGATGTTCCCCAGCTGAAATGAAACCCAGAATGCCAAAAGGTATTAATGCAATATCCTGAAATTGCAGAAAAAATATTAACTTTTAATGAAAGGTCATCACAGATGAGAAAAGGAAAAGAATATTGCTAGCAACTTTAAAATAGAAAAAAATTTGAGCAGGAGGAAAAACGTTGGCGAGCATAGAAAAAGAGGTTTCAATTACTCAAGTATGCGAATGTTAAATTAATGATTTTTGCGCACTGGCAGAAATTAATGAAATTATCAGTGCCTGACACTCTTTGTATTAGGGTCCTTAAGATAATTGCAAATGTGATTAGAAACACTATAAGTTAATAGAACTCTATGGAAGAGAAAAGAAAATCAGTCCAAGAATGGATGAAATATGGATATAACACCTTTTGTATGTATATACATTCAAATAAATACACACAATTTAATATATTTAAAATAATATAAGTGAATACCCACTTAAGACAGTTTTAGAAATGTAACTGCTGGGGGAATCTTACTACTTATAGGTTAGTTCTTTTTACCTTTGAAACCTGGAATTTACCAGTCCAATTTATCCAGTACAATTAGCAATCACTTCAAAGAACACAGAATACGGCATGGCAGATAACCCTGGTTTTTCAAGAGTCAAGCCCACTGAAGTGATTTCTATGAGGAAATAACCTGTCACCTAAATAAGGGGGAAACAAAAAATATAATCTTATAGTGTGATAATTAGGTTTTAGGTATTATTCCACACAGTATTTCCTTTCTAGTCCATTCCATTAGAAGGATGTAGATGAAGGTCACACTGAACAGTCTAATGTATCCAAAGGCAGCTTTGTTTGCTTTACTTTTACCTTCTTAGAAGAAATAGCTCAGTGTTGTGATTATTTACTTTAATTCTTTCTTGTTAAAAAGGAAAACTCTTAAGAGAAGGTTTTGCCTATCTTAAGAAGTACTTATCTGGGGGGCGCCTGGGTGGCTCAGTTGGTTGAGCGACTGCCTTCAGCTCAGGTCATGATCCTGGAGTCCTGGGATGGAGCCTGGCACCGGACTCCCTGCTCAGCTGGGAGCCTGCTTCTCCCTCTGACCCTCCCCCTTCTCGTGCTCTCTTTCTCTCTCTCTCTCTCACACTCTCTCAAATAAATAAATAAAATCTTAAAAAAAAAAAAAAGAAGTACTTATCTGGGGCCACCGGGGTGGCTCAGTCGGTTAAGCATCTGTCTTTGGCTCAGGTCATGAGCCCAGGGTCCTGGGATCGAGTCCCTCATCGGGCTCCCTCCTCAGCTGGAAGCCTGCTTCTCCCTCTCCCTCTGCCTCTCCCCCTGCTTGTGCTCTCTCTCTCTCACTCACTCTCTCTCTCAAATAAATAAATAAAATCTTTAAAAAAAGAAAGAAGTACTTATCTGGCTGCATATCAAAGTACTTTTTTAAATGTATAACTTCGACTATTCTTGTGTTACATAGAATCATAATTCTACTTATGACTCTTATTTGGGATTTACTTGGGATTATATATATTTTTTGTGAAAGACTGGGTGTGGGGAAGAATTGTAATCTTGTTTATATTATTAAAATTTGTGAATTTTTAACTTTATTTTCACGAGTAAATATGGCTTGCATAATTTCTGGTTTTCAATTTTGGGGTCAGAATTGAATCCATTCGGTAAATGTTTCATGGAGGCTTGAAAAAGAGATGAGTTCTTTCTCTGGGTGTGGATATAGGAAACAAAGTTTATTAATTAAGTTATACCAATCCTCTGCTTCTTATTTATATTTGCTATTTAAACATTAGCGATTGAGGTTTGGGCTAAGTTCTTCCCACAAATTCCACCCCTCCTACATTCTGCTATGGTTAATTATGTGGATTAGGAGCCAGGCTGCCTGTTTAAAATCCAGGTTCTATGCTTACCAGCTGCGTCACTTTGGTCAAATTAATGTCTCTATTAAGATCTCCATTTGCGGGGCGCCTGGGTGGCTCAGTTGGTTAAGCGGCTGCCTTCGGCTCAGGTCAAATCCTGGAGTCCCGGGATCGAGTCCCGCATCAGGCTCCCTGCTCGGCAGGGAGTCTGCTTCTCCCTCTGACCCTCCTCCCTCTCATGCTCTCTGTCTCTCATTCTCTCTCTCTCAAATAAATAAATAAAATCTTTAAAAAAAAAAAAAGATCTCCATTTGTGAAATGAAAAGAATTGTCCCCTATATCATAAGAACAGCTTTAGATGAAAAGATATCATGGAGATACACACAGCAATTAGCACAGTGACTGGCACATAAAATGGCCTATAAACATTAGTTTTATTATTATTGGTATTATGATTCTTCTTTTGGTATTGCTAATTTATTATTATTGGTATTATTATCATCATGCTCAGTTCCTTTCTAATACTTTTAAAATTTGTTAATTTTCTTTTCCCTTTTACAGGTATACACTTGCAGAGAGACAGAATGATTGGCCTTTGATCAAACTGATCAGGATGTTTTCTGTAAATCATAATGGCGTGTCGGCCAGGGATTCAAGAGCATCTGTTTTTCAGACAAAAATACCAGACCAATAGATCTGAAGAGAGATCCTCTCTCTTGCTGCATTAAAACCACCTGGGGAAGGGTGCCTGAGTGGTTCAGTCAGTCAAGCATCTGACTCTTGATTTTGGCTCAGGTTATGCTCGCAGGGTTGTGAGATCGAGCTCCACGTCAGTCTCTGTGCTCAGCATGGAGACTACTTAAGATTCTCTCTCCTTCTCCCTCTGCCCCTCCACCTCCCCACTCTCTTTCCCTCTCAAAATAAATAAATAAATAAATAAATAAAAACAAAAACCACCTGGAGAAACTTTAAAAATTGTTCCTGCCCTAGTATTTCTGATTTGCTGGATTGACTGTAGGAGGCAAGCATGTAAGTAGGAGAAAGAGCAAAGGCAGTTGTCCACGTTGAGAGGCAGGTCTGGGAGAGACAGTGGCCTCAACCTAGCCACATCTTGCACGAATGTTCCTGAGCTGGTCCACATCCTGGGTAGAAACCAGGCCTTACAATGGACTCCCCTAGAGGAGGAAGAGGAATAACGGCAGGTTCAGAAAATTAGACAAAAATGGAAATGGCACATTTTTTCTGTTCCAGCTAAACCCAGACTTCTGTGGGAAAGATACACCTCCCCACCAAAGCAGTTATATTCCCTGAATGAGAACCTCTGGAACCAACGAGGTAAGAGAATTAGTTAAGAACAATGATGACTCAGGGAAAGCTTTCATGGTGAATCCATGTTGCAAGTCTAAAGGATGAATAGGTATCCACCATCGAGAAACCAAGAGTTGATACAGGGAAGATACAAGGGAAACAGACAAAGCTGGAATGGGCTATAAAGTCAGCAGAGAAAGTAAAAACACCTTAATTTTAAATAGGATGAATAAAGATTGTAGGTTAGTAAACAAGTTAGAAGTATGCATTCCAGTTGTTTAAACTTGGGCTACTCAACCTCTAGAGCCTCCATTTATTTCCTTGTGAACCAGGCATCCCACGGCACCCACCTGCCCCAGCTGATGAACATAAAGCATTCAATCCATGGTAAGCAAACCAAGATTAAGTTTTATTATTTTACTATTTTTGCAGTGTTTCTTGGCTCATTGTTGTTGTTGATTCATCTTTTATATCTTTACATTAGAGGATATGAAATTAGCAAGTAACTTCTTGAATGATGATACACAGGGCTAGTGAAAGGTCGGGTGAAGAGGACACCAGCATTGTTGGGGGGCATGCAACTCCATTATTTAGGGTAAAAAAAATCAAAAACACAAATCAAGAGCCTTAAAACCTAATGTTTTCCCACTTTAACTCAGTAATTCTACTTCTGGGCATCTACCCTAAGTAAATATTCTGAAATATGTAGAAAAATATTTATGCACAAAATTTCATTACAGTATCATTTATGATAGCAAAAAATAACAAACCTGGGAACAAAAAGATTTCAATCAGGCAACTATGAAAAATGATGTTTACCAAGCATTAACAATTCCGTAGAAAATGTATATGAATAAATGAAGGCAGGAGGACATAACAATTGTGTACGTTATAATCACAACTCCACATTTGTTTATGTATCTGCATAAACAAAAAAATAAGACTGCATAAAAATGTTAATGGCTACTTTGGGCAGTAAGATTACAGGTAAATTTTCCCTTTTACTTTGTTACATTTTTTAATTTTCCAAAATCAACATTTATTACCTCCGTTCTAACAATACTCGTTTATCCAAGCAGAGACTGGGGGATCCTGAGCCTAGGGTAGTTCAGGGACTCTCTCGGTAGAGTTGTTTGCTGGAAAAGATTTGGAATTCCCCCCACCTCTATGTCTTTCTGATGGATTTCTTCATGAATGTTTCTTCTCTACAGCGAGAGCATAAAATGACAACCATGCGCATGCACTCATGACCCTCATTTGTTTACGTGGAAGGTGACAATAACCATTGTGACCTGGAATGCATCCCAAGCAGTCCTTCAAGCCGGTAGTGATATTTCACAGGGTAGAGCAGTCTGGTGGAAGGAAAACACTCCCTGCTTCTTCGGAACTTCCTAAATGTGATGACGCACGCCACCTGCCAGGCCCCTCGTTGCCACCCTCCTATCTTCTCTACCTGTCACAGCTCGTCTTTTTCATTTCAGCCCCGGTGCACTCTCCGGGCACTGCCTCTGCCTGGCGAGCCGCAACCCGACCCTTGGTGGGGATGTCCCCACCCTGTGCTGTGCAGTGCCCGGAGAGAGTGCCTCTCTCCCCTCCAGAAATCAGGTGTCAAAAAATCCAAGTTCATGCAGGACTCTTCCATGGACAAAATGAGCTTTCTCCTATTTATTGGAGAGGAGAGCCACTTGGTTGTCTTTTAAAAATATTTGTTGGGCACCTGGGTGGCTCAGTCGGTTAAGCATCTGCCTTCCACTCAGGTCGTGATCCCAGAGTCCTGGGATCAAGCCCTGCATTGGGCTCCCTGCTCAGCGGAGAGCCTGCTTCTCCCTCTCCACCCTCCCTGCTTGTGCTCTCTCTTTCTCTGACAAATAAAATCTTTAATATATACATATATATATTTGTTATTTATAATAGAACTATTATTCTTTATTACAAATAAATTTCCTTAGGAAAATAATTCCTATTGATGCTGTAATACAATACTACTTCATTACTGACACCATATCATTTATAGTACAGTGAAGAATAATCTGTGCAATAAAAAAAAAGCATTTAATCAGGGAAGTGATCAAATGAATAATTTTTTGTCTCTCCAAGACAACATTTCCAATGGTTACGTGTATAAGGCTTATTCCTGAAAGTACACAATTTTGAAAATAATGACAGAAAAATTTCAGGAGTAATGTAATTTGATCTTTTTCAGGAAATCCATAATTACCAGACTTCTGAAAGGAAAAATCTAAATTGTAAGCTTCAGTATTTTCCAGGTGCTTGTTTACCAAGGCCTGGAGAATTTAGAAACCTGGCACCATACCATAGTTAAAATCCATGGCAATTGTATGTTCACATTCTTAAGATGCGAGGCCTAGAAAGAAGCCTCCCACGCATCTGTTGGATATTGTCATATTCTGCTGAAAAAATTCTGTTGTGTTTCTTATGATATTACTGATACCAGTTGGTGATTTTCTTACTTACTGAATGATTTCTTTGCTTTATTCATATATTTTCAATTCTCTTCTGGGAGATATACAAGGCAATATGAAAAAGTAAGCTAGCAAATTTCCACAGTTGCTGTATTTTTTCTGCCATTCTAGAAATTTTCTGGAACAAATATTCTGTTACCCCACCCATTAAAATCTGCGTAGCTACTGAGTTTACTTATGTTGTTGGTTCCAGGGAGGGCCAGTTCTGAATTCCTCCAGGGGACTTTTTGCGTGATCAGTTTCACACTGTATGTCTGGAAGGGGAGAAGTCCCATCCAATTTGATATCAGCTTGCAGTCTACACTCTGGAAGAGACCCCAGGATGCTGAGGTCTGAGCACAGAAGTAAAAATGAAAGCCATGACCTTTCTAGCAGCTTCCAGAACACAAACAACAGACTTTTCAATTTTTCAAAGTGGAGCCATCTCCCTGTGCGAACCCAAGCTGACAGGCTACAAACTTACTCCAGGCCCTATAATTAATCAGTTTTTCCCACTAACATCCTTGAAGGACGCACCAGGGCTCACAACCACTGTTCTCGTTTTATCTTCTTCCTCTTTCTTTTTTCTAAGTTCACATTACCTTTTACTTTTTTTTTTTTTTAGGTATAATATCTATACCATATAATCCACTCACTGTAATTTCACAATTCAATGATTTTTAGTCTGTTTACGGAGCTGAACAACCATCAGCACGATCCAAACTTAGAACATTTTCATTAGCCCCCCAAAATTTCCCTGGAGCATGGGTGTAGTCTGTCTCTCCTTCCGCCCCCAACCACGGGCAGCCACTGATCTACCTGCTATCTTTATAAATTTGCCTTTTCTGAATATTTCCTTAAATAGAAGCATGGGATATATCGTCCTTTGTGCCTGTCACAATGGTTTTGAGTTTCATTCGTGTTGTAGTCATAGTTCAGTATTGAATTCCTTTTAATGACCAAACCGTATTCTATTGTGTGGGTACACCCCATTTCATTTATCAGTTCACTAATGTATGGACATTTGGATTGTTTTCAGTTTTTGACTCTTATGAATAGCCCTGTTGTGAACAGTCATGCACAAGGCTGTCTGTGGACACCTGTGTTCATTTTCCTTAGGTATATTCTTTTTTTTTTAAAGATTTATTTATTTATTTTTTAGAGGGGGAGGGGGGCAGGGGGAAAGAATCTCAAGCAGACTCCCCTCTGAGTGTGGAGCCCGACGCAGGGCTCAATGTCACGACCCTGAGATCATGACCTGAGCCGAAACCAAGAGAGGGATGCTCAACTGAAGGAACCACCCAGGCACCCCAATTTTTGAATAAATTAAGAAAAAATTTTTTTTTCAAAAATAATTTCAAGTTAAAAGTTACACCATACGGGGGCGCCTGGGTGGCTCAGTCGTGAAGCCGTCTGCCTTCGGCTCTGGTCATGGTCCCAGGGTTCTGGGATCGAGCCCCGCATCGGGCTCCAGCCACGCATCGGGCTCCCTGCTCAGCAGGAAGCCTGCTTCTCCCTCTCCCACTCCCCCTGCTTGTGTTCCCTCTCTCGCTGTGTCTCTCTCTGTCAAATAAATAAATAAAATCTTTAAAAAAAATAACACCGTATGTCAAACAAAGAAAATAGCACAAATAGTATCATCACCCTGAGAAAACCACTATTTTCTAGTATTTTCTGCATATTTTTTCCTATATGTTTTACATAATTATAATAATACTGTTTATACAATTTGCCTAGAGTTTTTCACATAATATTTTGGCATCAACATCTTTCCCTGTTCTTACAAAAAAATATATGGCTGTATAGTATTTCATCATTTGGAAGAAAATACTTGTTTTAATAACTTCCTATATTAGTATATTTAGATTTTTCCATTTTTTAAAAAAGTTTTTATTTATTTATGAGAGCACAAGAAAGGGGAGGGCCAGAGGGACAAGCAGACTCCCCACTGAGCAGGGAGCCCTACGTAGGGCTTGGTTCTGGGACCCCGGGACTATGACCTGAGCCAAAGGTAGACGCTTAACTGACTGAGCCACCCAGGGGTCCCATAGAATTTTCCAGTGTTCTTATACCATACAGAATGCTATGCTGAACATCTTTCAGCATAGTTGTTTTATTTGTCATATTTAGAATTATTTTGTTAGGATAGAGTCCTAAATATGGGTCAAAATACACAAATAATTGGTGAAGTTGAAAAAAATATTTATTGAGTCCAGTGTGCACAAAGCAGGGTGTTACAAGCTGAGATAAATGGCATTGCATTGAGGATAAATTATTCATAAAACTGGAGACATAATCTCTCAATCACTAGGAAAGATGAGCGGTCGTTTGGGGGACCAGGTGGGTGGGAAGTAAATCACACTAATGGCCACGGCTTAGTCTTCATCAGCTGCCACCAGAGATGGTTATGTTAACTTGGTATCGGAGAAAGGAGTAAGGACTTTCAAGTCTAAAACGTAAGAAGTAACGCAGATTTATTAGTTAATTCATAATCTAAACAAGTGGTGCATGGCATAAAACAATCAAACCCAGAAATATCTCTAAAGCGTGTAATCATTTTTATATCATTCAATCCACACCACGGGGCACATTAATGCTGAAAAGACCAGAAGCGGGAAATGGTGTCATTAGCATGTAGCAGCAGTTGCCTTGTTAATGATTCATTTTTCTCAGGCAACTGAGATTCATGAAGTTTTATGGCGATAATCCCTTTCTCAGACTGCAGGTAACCAGAAAGGCAATGTGATGGTGTGGTCCTGCTTTAGGGATGGGAAGCCATCTCGCTGTGAAAACTAGGACCCTGTCTGTATTCCTCCCTGTTCTCCTGTCACCCCATGATATCTCCTAAATGCCTGGGCTCCCGTCCTGCTTTCTTTACTGTAAGGACTCTGCTTCATGTGACTTTCCATTTGCAACCTTTTGGTCTACCTTCTCCTACCTGCAATAAAAATGATCATGGCTGTTTCCTGAGCTATAATTCTAATAAGGCAGATAAAGTATCTGTCTTGTCCATGATACATATCAAGTGCGTAAGCAATGACTGGTGGATAGTGGGGTTCCAAAAAAGATCATTCAATTAAACAGAAGAAAGGCGTCTCATTCTGTCAGGAGTTTGCCCGCTGATAATTCATACTAAAAAATTACTCACGACGTGCGTTATTCCTTCCGGGTAACTATGGCATTTCACCAAAGCTATTCTGTACACTAACTCATGGGTATAAGAAATGTGGGGGTGGGGCGCCTGGGTGGCTCAGCCAGTTAAGTGGCCGCCTCTTGATTTCGGCTCAGGTCATGATCTCAGGGTCATGGGATCGAGCCCCATGTCAGACTCTGTGCTGGGTGTGGAGCCTGCTTAAGATTCTCTCTCACCTTCTCTCTCTGCCCCTACCCACCCCACCCCCACTCTCTCTCTAAAAAAAGGAAATGTGGGAGTTTCAAGTATTAGAAAGGTCACGTTAAGAGAGATGAGGGGATGGATGAGAGGAGTGATTAGCCAGTAGCTCCAGCTTCATGCCCTAAAGATCATGTCGGTCCTCTCCTCAAACTTAATGTTTTCTGTTTCCCTTAAGAGTCTGTCCGTCTGTGTAGACAGGCTGCCCCCTCAGAGGTACAAGAATCCAGAAGGCTCCTTGGGGGCAGGACAGCACTGGCTTCACATCTCCACTTCCTTCACAGTAGCTCAGCGTTGAGCAACTCAGAGAAGCACAGAGAGCTTCGGAGTTCTCATCTATGAATGGGAAAAAATAATGTGCCTGGCAGGATATCCTAAGGATAATGAGATGCTGCGGATATAGAAACTCAGACAGGGCCT